TATTCATAGTATTTCAAAATCTGCTTCTTTTTTTCAGTTTACTTAGGCTCTCTGTGCCTCAATTGCTTTACCCGTGAAATGGACAAAATAGTATCTCCCTCAGGGTTGCTCTGAGGATTAAATCAGCTCATACATGTAAAGGGCTTAGAACAGTGCCTGGCACATAGCAAGCTCTCAGTAAAGGTTAACTATTTTCATTATTGCCATAATTTGTTAAACAGTCTCCTATTGATTTATGCTAAATTTTTTTCAACTTTTCACTATTACAGATAATATTGCAATGAAAATTCTTGGACATCATCTTTGCACATTTGGATAAGTATTTATGTTGGACAAATTTCCAGAGTTGGAATTCCTGGGTTGAAGGGTGTGCACAATGCTGGATCTGACTAAATTGCCTCTAAAACGTGTGCCCTAACACGTGAACCATGTATGAGAGTGTGCCTCCCACGCCTTCTCCAGCACCGAGTATTACCCAAACTATCCCGTTTGCCAGTGTGTGGGAAAAATGGCAGTTCATAGTTGACATTTCTCTTCTTTTGTGAGGCGATAGCCTAGCTACACATTTAGAGAATATCTGTATTTATTCTTTTGTTCTTTGACTATTTTCTTCTATTAGGGTTTTGACTTTCTCTATCTGAAGACTTTTATCATACATGACGGGTATTAACTATACAATAAAAGCCCAACTATTTTCTGCAAGTCTGTTAATTGCCCACAAGGGACATAGCATCATATGGAGTCCTCAATTTTGAGTATCCTGCCCCTTGGAGGAGGGAGTCCCATCGCCTGGCCGGCATTGCAGCTGTGCCTGCACTAGGTCATTCCATTGCTCTGTCAGATCAGCCACTTCTGAGCGGTGCAGCATGTGACGTGGCCAGTGGGTTTCATGGTCACGCACTCACTCCCACCCTTCTGTAAAGTGGATGTCTTTACTTTGCTGTAAATTGGTCTGACGTGATGTTACATGGGATCTTATGACAGTGGATTAATGCTGTGTAAGCCCTTTGATAGCGGTGATGGCTAAGGCCCTGCAGGGAGGCAAGTCAAACCCTCACCCATAAAATGTTATCTATTTCTGTTAAAGTGAATCACTGCTCCTTCCAGTATGGAAAAGGTTCAATGTAGTCAGCTTGCCACCAAATGGCCAGTTGGTCTCCTGGAGAGATGGTGCCAAGTTGAGGACTAGCTTTGCTCTGTGTTGGGCAGATTGGACATTCATAGCTGTGTGGTGAGCAGGAGCCCATGCGGTTGGGCCCATGCATGACCTCATCTGGGCCACTGTGACTCTTCTCACACCCATTGTGTCAGCACTGAGGTGACCAACGACAGAGCCTGGCTAATGTCACATGGCCATGTCATTTTGTCCACCTGGTTATTTAGCAACTCTTTCATGGCAGGAGCTTTCTGCTGGTGTTGACTGTGATACGACAATCTTCCCACGTTGTGCCCACTCCATGCGCCCATGCATGGAGTCTTGTGTGCAGCCTTTCCCCTCCAGGACCCTGGCCAGACGGCCAAACATTTTGCTGCTCCGTGTATATTCTAACCTTGGGCCACTTCTGTTTTCCACATAAAGTGGTTAACCAGGTATGTTTCCCAAAGCTCTACCCGTTGGGAAGACTTTCCCTCACCACCTCTTAAAGGGGCTGTAGTGCAGACACTGCGCATATCTGGCTTGTACGTGCACATGGAGCCAGTACTTGTGAGCCAAGCTCAGACTTTTCCCTTCTCCGTCAGCTTGTCTTAAGGGACCCTCCACTCTGTCCAGTGGCTCCAGGTGTGAGCTGAGGGAGAGATGTGGAAGCAGCAGTGGCGGGTGGCTGGGTCTGGGCCACCTGCTCACACAGCCTGCTTCTCCTTCCAGTCCTACTGGGCCTTGGTTCTGAACGTTCCACTTCCAGATTACCCTCTCGCCTCTGGGCTTGCAGGACCTTAGGACTTACACTTTAACAAGATCCTCAAGTTACTTTTGTTCATGTAACCACGTAGTAGCACTCAGACCAAAGTGGGGTGGAAGCAATAGCACCTACCAGGCAGAGGACACAGGCAAAGGCTGTGGCGAAATGAACAGGAAGCCATTGAAGGGTTTTAGGCAAGGGTGTAACATGATCACATTGTGTGTGCACAGGTGTGTGTGTGTCCATAAGTATTCGCATATAACTGTGGCTTCGAGAGGGAGAACGGTTTGGAAGGGAAGCGAAATGAATGCAGGGAAATCAGAAGGAGACCATTGCAATAGTCAAGGGAGAAAGGAAGGTGGCTTGGAATAACATAGCAGCCATGGAAGTAAAGCAAGGGAGAGGCAGATTCAGGAACTGTCTCGAGGTGGGATTGCCAGGATTTCGTGCCTGAATGGGGGGTGCATGGAGAGCACAGAGCATTTCAGATCATTCCCCTGTTTCTGGCCTTAACAACCTGTGGATGGCTGTACTGCCAAAGAGATCTGTTTGGGACACATTAAGTCTGAGGGGCCTTTCAGACATCCAAGTGGCAATAACAAGCGAGAGTTGGGTTTATAGAGCTAAAGCTTGAGCAATAGAGTCTTCCCCAGCAGGGAGTAAAGAAGGTCACCGGCCAGGGAGCACGTGAGATGATGGGAAACGAGGACCCGTGGCCCCTCGGGAATTCCAGCATCCACAGAGGCAGGATGGAGGCGGAGGAGTTGGCAAAGGGACGAAAGGGAGGCACCCCCAAAAGAGAGAGGGAGAAGGCAGAGGAGAACTATGTCTGCCCTTCTGCCCTTGCCTCCCACGACCTGCGTCAGTACAGCATTCAGGGTGATCCTCCACAACAGAAGTTATTACCAAGTTCACGTTGCTCCTCTGCTCTGCCTTCGCCCAGGCGAAAACCCCAAGTCCTGACAATGGCCTCAAGGGCCCACGTGACTGCCCATTCCCTGACTCTGCACCAGGCACGTGGCACGTGGCCCCACTGCTGTCCCACAGACAGGCTGGGCCCATTCCTCTCGCCAGCATGCCTCCCAGCCCCCCTGGGGTGACTGTGCTCTAGTGCCCTCTCCTGGAGCACACTTCCTCCGGATACCTGCTCAGCCCACACTGCCACCTTGGCAGGGCCTTCCCTAACCTAGTCCAGCTGCAACCTGCTCCTGCCCCTCACTCTCTATCAGCCATGAGTAACCTGCTCAACCTCTACTTTCCCCTTAGCCCTCACCAACATCAGTCATATTCTTTCATTCCCTTATTATTTTTATTTTATATTTTATTTTAATCTGTCTCCCCTGACCAGAATAGGATCTTCCCCAGGACAGGGATCTCTGTCTATTTTGTTTACTGATCTATCCCAAATGCCTAGAACAGCGCCTGGCACAGAGGAGACGCTCCATAAATATCTGTGGTATTAATGAGAAAATCTGTTCTCTAAAGGGAGAGACCCACGAAACCATAACAAGAATGACCTTAGTCATTAGTCTGAGGCCACTAAAGAACTGTTACAGTCTTAACCGTGCCCCAGGGACAACAGTCTCCACGCTGATGGTGTGACAGAGAGAAGATATCATGTCTTAAGTCTCTAGTGCTTTATAGAATAGCTCAGTGCAGGTGCTTTGCTCTGCTATTAATGGAAACGGAGTTTTTCCGTGACTGTGTCTTGCTTAGCCTCCCTTTGAGGTTTCCATGTCTCCCAATGCCATCGGGGTAGATTTCTCATCATTCTTACAATTTCTCAACCTTTCCCAAGTTTTCTGTTTCTCTCCACAGATGCTTCTTTTAAAAAATTGAGATATAATTCACATACCATAAAACTCAGATTTATAAAGTGTACAATTCGGTTGCTTTTAGTATATTCACATTGTACAATCATTGCCACCAATTTTAGAACATTTTTATCACCCCAAAAAGAAATTCCATACCCATTAGCAGTCCTCTCTCCCCTCAGCCTCTGGCAACCATTAATCTACTTTCTATCTTTATGAATTTGCCTATTCTGAACATTTTGTATAGATGGAATCATACAATATGTGGCCTTTTGTGTCTGGCTTCTTTCATCTGGATAATGTGGGTCTATTCGTGTTATAATGTAACAGTACTTTATTTTTCATATGGCTGAATAGAATTCCCTTGTGCGGATATACCACATTTCATTTATTGCATTTTATCAGTTGATGGAAATTTGGGTTGTTTACACTTTTTGGACATTATGAATAATGCTATGAACATTTATGAACAAATTTTTGTTTGAACATGTTTTTAATTCTCTTGGGTATATACCTAAGAGTATGATAATTCCATGTTTAACTTCTATGTTGACTATGTTTAACTTTTTGAGGAATTGCCAAACTGTTTTCCACAGTGTCTACACCATTCTACATGCTCCCCAGGAATGAAGAAGGTTCCAATTTCTCCACATATCATTTTGATTATAACCACCCTAGTATGTGTGAAATGGTATCTCATTGTGATTTTGATTTGCATTTTCTTAATGACCATTGAGTTTGAGTATCTTTTCATGTGCTTATTGGCCATTTATTTATCTTCTTTGGAGAAATGTCTATTCAAGTCCTTTGCCCATTTAAAAAATTTTATTGATTCATAGTATTTGTACATATTCATGGGATACATGTAATATTTTCTTATATGCATAGAATATGTAATAATCAAGTCAGGGTATTTAGGGTAAAAACTAAAAACAGAACTACCATATGATCCAGCAATTTCTTTGCCCATTTTTAAATTGAGTTATTCGTCTTTTTATTGTTCAGTTATAAAAGTTCTTTATGTATTCTGGATAAAAGACCTTTATCAGATATATGATTTACAAATATTTTCTCCTATTCTTGGGTTTCTTCTTAATTTCTTGATAGTATCCTTTAAAGCACAAACGTTTTTAGTTTTTTAGCTTTGATGAAGTCCAATTTTCTATTTTTTCTTTGATCCCACAGACTTTTTAGGTACAGTGTCTATATTTTATCCTGACAAGAAAAAGAAGGTGATAGCAGAAAAGGACAAATGAGAAAAAAATGACAACTTTATAGTTTATGCTAATAATAGAATTATTTAGAAAATTGCCCTGCACTAGACAGTATAATTCCTGTTGGTGGATACAAGCCAAATATGAGTCACACACAAGTCTTCGTCTATTCCATTTAGCTGGATGGATCTAAGGGACAGAGTGATGGAGACTATCACCCTAGAGGAAACCAATTAGTATTTATACCATTTAAAATGATTTATAAATTGCTTAAGCATATCTATCAAACCTAAATGGAACATTTCAAGTCAGCTTCATACAAAAGCAACACTCTGTGGGATGATTTCTGAACTGTGAAAATCTGTCTTTCGGATCTAGCATCTTAGAGCATAGAGACTGAATAGATTGCCATGCAGGAAGAGTCACCCCATTTTCTCCAGAAGTTTGTATTTGATTTATATGGGTACATTCCAAGGAACGTAGGATCCAGGTTCATCTCTTGGAATCTAGAATAAAAGAATAAATTTGGATAGTCGCTATTTGGAAAATGTTTGTGACTTAGGTGAAAAATAGCAGAACATAAAATAGGCTAAAAACCACCAGGGGGCAACCAGACTGTGAGAGGTCAGGGAACAGCAGCTGTGACCTGTGGAGGGATCCGGGAGAGGGTGGGGTGGCTACAGGGTTATGGTCTTACGCTGGGAGAGGGCCATGAAAAGTGGGGGTGGTCTCTGTTTCTCCAGCATGGAAGGGGTGGCTGGTGGGGGCCTAGGGAGAGCCATGAACGATGCCACAAAGAGCCAGCGTGGGGGAGTGGAGGAGGGGCTTTCCTTTCAAAGCAAGGAACAGCTTTCTTAGAGTCAGGCAATAACTGTGCACAGCTTGACTTCCTGCCATCATTAAAAACCTGGTCACTGAAAACACCCAAGGAGGGCTGAGCGTCTGCTTGGCAGCGGAGCTGTTGCCGGGGGGATTCCTGTGATCCCACTTTCCCGGTGGCTGTTTGGGGTCGGGATGGAGGCAGACCGTCGGAGGGGCCCATATCCTTGGCCTGGGTGTCCTAGGTTCAGGGCACAGTTTCTGAACTTCTATTCCTGACCAGGATGTCCTCGGAAGGGAACAGAACAAGGGAGGAACATACAATTAACAGGAATGAACCTTCTTCTGTCAAGTGGTAGAGAACTGAGTCCCACTGCAAGCCAAGCAGGGCCAGGCAGATGAAAAAACGCAACCCACGGGGCTCAAGTTCAAGGGCCACTCTGCTTTTCTCCTGCCCAAATGTCCTAAGGATTCCTGTCACCTTTTCTTCCACGGACGACAATAGCAGTGGGTTAACGAAACTTTACCACAAGGACAGGGGCCCGAAATTCAGAATTCTGTAATTGTTTTTTTCCACTGGGCAGAACGCACCATTTTTGTGAACTTGTCTTCACAGGCCATCCTAATCTTCTCTGGGGTCAGCGGGCTGCTGAGCCTCACGGGCCCAGACAGGCCTCTCTCCTGCCGTGCTGCACACACCGCGTCCCAGAGAGCGAAGAACACCGAGCAGCCCAGGAACACCCCGGACTCTCCCATACCCTGGCAGGGAAGCAAGCCAGCTAGATGGTGACTCTTTCTCTCACTGTGTATATATGTGTACATATGTATATGTGCATATATAGTGTATATGCATATAATATTATATACCATGTAAATATTTTTTTAAAAAAGTAATTTCATATTTTGACCCAATATTCCCATTCGTAGAAATCTAGCCTAAGGAAAGAATGCCAAACACAAAAAGCCTCATATAAGCATAAAGATAATTATTGCAAGATGACAAATCAGATATAACCTGATGGCAACAGTAGTTCGTATTAGTCTCCAGGATTTGGAATATTCAAATTTTTTTATCCTGTTCTTAAATTACTTTATAATTAAAATGTTTAATAGGGATTTTTCTTCCATAGCCTTGGTAAAAATCCCAACCAAGAGGTGGATGTAGCCCTCCTGCCGCCCCACAGGCATCATATAAACGTGCATCTGTTCCCAGAGCAGGGTTTACCTTAGACGAATACAGGGTATTCGAGTTTTGAGACGGAGGCAACAAAGCAATGTGCAATTCCTTGGGGATGTCACAGACGGCAGGAATTTTATATTGGCTTGGACCACGAGTGTACAGAAGGCCCTGAGGAGAATAATCCAGTTCCTCTATGGTATAAAGCCCCATGCCTTGAATAAACGCACCTTCAATCTGAGCCAAAAAAAAAAAAAAAAAAAAAAAAAAAAAAAAGAGAATTCCCATGTATGAGAAAATACAGTAACAGTAAGTAGCATTTCAACTTGATGCTGTTTGTTGGAATTTTTCAATTACAGTTTAAGCGGGTTTTCAGGGTTCTTGGAGAGTGTCGCTGAAAGTTTTCCTAAAAGCATTTCTAAACATCCCATGCAGCGCTAAGTTCAAAGTCCAACGACTTGGGTTCTGATCTTGGTTTGGCCATTGAAATGACAGCTTGAGAAGAGTCTTCACAGAGCCTGGAGCCCAAACACCCTCATTTTTCTGCCTGTGAGGCAGATGAAACGCTCTGACTGTGTCCACAGACCCCGGTGCACTAGCAGAAGCTGGAATCCCGTCATCTCATCCCCCACCAGGCTCACAAGCTGCCGGCCTCACATCTCTGGACTCTGAGGTAAAGACAAGTGTTCCTAAAACTCCAGGCCACTCCGCGGCCACATCACCTCCTCCCACTAAGTTAAGTCCTGTCTCTGGGGGGCCTCCCTACGGCCTCTTCTGCTCTCTGACTCTGCCTCAGACCCTCTCCTCCCACACAGGCCCTCGCCATGGTCATCCGCCCTGGCCTCTTCGCAGGCTGTGAACACGTGTGCTGAATTTCATGTCTTTCTTTTGGTTGATTTCCTTCACTCTTCTTCACCAGAACGGTGTTTCTTGCTCTTCCCTTGACAACCTGGTGCACACCTAGGTCCTCCCTGAAGCCTCCTTTGACTTCTCCACGCCCTAGATTCTTCCCAGTCTGACGACACAGTGACATGACTGGAGAGGACCTTAGATTACGCTCTAAGTTGGAGGCGGTGAGCTGAACCGTGCACGGGTTCGAGGCAGGTAAAGCAAGTGTGTGAAGATTCCAGGTGGGTCCTGTGTCACTGGAGAGTGTGTGACTCTCTGGGGGTGCGGCTAACCGACTTGTGCCTTATGGAAATGCAGGTCCAGCACTGGCAAGTTTTCTGTTTTCAAGAGAAGCTACATATTTGTGATTTTCCAACCTTGTCAATTATTTCAAATTTAAATTTTAAAATGTCTGTAGGTAGAATTCAGCCCACAGGCTGCCTATCAATAGCTACTGCTCTGACTATTTGAGGTTTGTTGTCCCAACACAACCTTAAGCTCCTTGAAGCTGCAGCCCACCTTATGGCGAAGGCTCGGCCCTCAGCACAAACTCTACTCATACCCCAAAGGTTTGGGGCTCACTGGTCACCTCCAGGCTTGGTGTTGCTTCACTCAAGCTCCAATTGCAGACTGTATGTTTCTTCAAAAAGTACCTAAAGACACCTTTTTTCCTTCCCCTTTTTAAACAGTAAGAAATTTGAGTTCTGCAGCTGGCCTGAATGGAAAGTTTGACTAAAGGGGTAGAAATACAAGATGATGAATAAACCTGATGGAATGTTCCCCTGCAGACCCCACATCAGCTTTGGCTTTTACAAATAGGAAAGCAAGGCGCATCAGTCACACATACCTGGCCTATGTCAAGGGCTGGGTTTATACTGTAGCCAACATCCATGACAATATCTGTTCTGAGGTTCTAGTAATAAAAAAAAAAAGTTAAAATGTTTATTTTAATGAAGATAACTTGAAACTGAGAAACAGTTCCTGCCAGGCTAGCTTTGGTATAAAACCTTTCTTTGGGCCACATTATTTCAGGAGAAGAAGCAACAAAGATTTTATTATGTGACTAAGTTTATTATGTAAAACTTTCAAAGTTATACAAATATTTTTAACCAGCTTAAGCACTGCTTTTTTTTTCTTGGAAAAAATAGGAGAAAAAATATTTACTTGATTTTAATTCAAGCTGGGTGATGCAACAGATTGAGTTTAACTCACATCATATGACACAGCAAAAAATAATGTCTATGGCCCTCATCATTCTTATTGCAAAACTTCATGGCTAGAATACAACTGGCAGAGTGATGTTTACCATAGAGTTCCATAGAGTTCAGGATGCATCAACAAAAAAGTCTTTAAACTGTCATCTGCTGTTCTAGATTTTTCAGTTTTGGAGCAGAGGAGAGAATAAATCTGACACTACGACTTGCTGAGTTGTGTGTGTGTATGTGTGTGTGCATGTGAATCTGTGTATGCATCTCTTCATGGCATCCCTTAAAAGCATAAGAATGCTCTTAAATGATCTAAAAAGCAAGACCTAAAAGTAAAAGATATAAAAAACCGGCCACTGCCCTCCCTGGGCTGGCTCTTGGTGCTTGTTAGTGGAACATGGATGCCTATGAAATCTTCGAGAATGTCACAATTTTGGCCGGGTGTGGTGGCTCACGCCTATAATCCTAGCACTCTGGGAGGCTGAGGCAGGCGGATCGTTTGAGCTCAGGAGTTCGAGACCAGCCTGAGCAAGAGCGAGACCCCGTCTCTACTAAAAAAATAGAAAGAAATTAGCTGGACAACTAAAAAAATATATATAAAAAATTAGCCGGGCATGGTGGCGCATGCCTGTAGTCGCAGCTACTGAGGCAGGAGGATTGCTTGAGCCCAGGAGTTGGAGGTTGCTGTGAGCTAGGCTGACACCACGGCACTCTAGCCTGGGCAACAGAGTGAGATACTATCTCAAAAAAAAAAAAAAAAAGAATGTCACAGTTTGGCACTTCTCACAAGAGGTCAGGATTGCTGGTTGTGCCACCAGTCCACATGGAAGCCCCCTTAGGCTGTGTTTCTCTCTTGAAGTAGTTTCTTTCCTGACTCCATTGCAAAGGGCCAGGTAAATAAAGAAGATGGGCCACCAGTTGTTTTCCACTGGATGCAATGATACCCCCAAGGCAAATGCTGAGCATTTTCTCCTGGTACTCCAGAGAAATCACCCGTAGGCCAAGTGCTGTCCCACACCCACCTCTCCTCAGAGAGGTGGCATCTGTGGAATGTAGGTGCATCTTAAGTGCAACTTGAAGATCTTTCTGATTGGAACTGACCTTATGAGCCCCCGTCAGGCAGTCTATTTCAACCTCGGAACAGGCAGCTCCATAAACAAAGTATTCGAAGGGATGGCCTTCACCTTTCTCCCAGTTCATGTCCGACTCATAACCCCTGGAGGAAACAGGATGATTGAGGAGTGGTGTTAACTGATCAAGTCCCCTAATCACAGACTATGATGATTACACAGACCCATAAGAGTTGTGCAAACCAGAGGAATATGCTCGTACAATGATATACCAATATATAATGCATACTCAGTAAGTCTGTTGAATAAATAAATATTTAGTTCTTTCTTATTTAACTTGCTTTGTCTGATAAACACATCCTATTACTCCTGGCTGATGACTCCTTACTTTTGAGGGTGAGGTGCTGACTTCATGATCAGCCATCTTATTGCTTTTGGCTAATGTTGGGTCATATGTAACCGTACTGTCATCAGATTTGGGGAATTCAACGTGTATCACCAAACTCTATTTCAAAGACACACACTGGCCTCCTTTGTCTATCTTTCTGGCTTCAGAAATCAACCTTGTGTGCGAGGGGCCAGGTCCCTGGGTCTCATCCTTTGCTACTACTCTGGTCTCTCACTATTGGGCTCCATAGCCTGCTCTGTTCCCAACTCCTCTTTAAGGACATCAGATACATGTCAATGGTAAAAAAGAAGCACAGGCCAGCAGCTTGCCAGGACTCTACCCTCTCTCCTCTGCTCCCGCAAGCCTGGAGTGGAACAATGCCTGTTCCAAGAGCCAGCCAGTGCCAGGATGCCCATGACAACTGGCAAAGTATCCAAACCACACAAGACTTCATATGACCCTGCTCTCTGATGGCTTTCATTCTCCAGTAAAATAACTTACTAAAATGTTTTCCAAATTAAGTGAGATCCTGTTGTTTCACATCTTTTTACCTGGCTATTGTCGAATTTTTTTGCCAATCCTGAAGGTGTAAAATGGTACCTATCTTATGGGTTCAATTTGCATCCTCCTACCTTTGTTTCTTAACTTAAGAGAGAGACTGTGTTTTCAACAAAAAGTCAGCCACTGCTGTGGATTCAAAGTATTAATCCCAGAGAGCCTTATAATACCATTCAGTATGATTTGAATCATCAATTCAGTTGAATCTTATTTGTGTGCCTATTTTTCCTAGCAAAAGTCTTTCTGGACACTCGGATTAACTGGCAGCTAATATTAAATATAATCTTTATAATTATGGGTACATACAAGGTATAAAATCAATTTTTGCCAAAATGACAAACAAAACTGAAACTCCTCCTCAAGATATCACTGTTATTTTCCATAGCATGTGACTGAAAGGATGGTTTACCTGAAGTATCCAACAGCCGAAAGGCTAATGCTTTCATCAAAAGCAGTCTGTGCCTGTGAAGGAAAAGCGTAACACAATGCACTAAGGATGTCTAAAGAAAGAATCACTCAAGACTCCAATTTGAATTTGACTACATGTTAAATAAAGCTATCAGCAGTAATAATTAAGAAGGACTAAGATTAATTTGTTCCTTTCAGCATTCTCCATCTCTACAGGCATTTGTGGTTCACTGCTTGTAGCAACAGCATTTGTCCAGTGCGTATGATGGTAATAAATGCCTGGGTGGTATGTTGTACTTATGGACTAGGCTAACGTCATCAACATATGTTCTGCTTATGAAGAAATCCACTCACTTATCTGGAAAGACTCTGCCTATTAACATGGGACATTGTAGGAAACAATGATTGGTTAGATGTTTCATTTTATTATCAGGTATCCATAACAGTTTCAGCTGAGGGGGAATAATTTTGCTAAATTGCACCAATTGCACCAAAAGTTCTCCTGACTCTGTAGTGCACACAGTTGACTACTCTACAGAAAAATGGGGATTAGGTCCAAGTCCCCAGGTCTAAGAAAGAAGGTGAGAAATGCAGTCGTTACAGAAGAAAGTGGGCTGGTGGAGGACTGACTCTCCACGCTGCGTCTCTCTCCAGCTGTCTCCAGACTGACTCAGCCTTTTGGGCTCAGGCAGTACAGTGCAGAGGGAAGAAACAAATATGCCCAGAAAGGATTGAGAGCTCCCATAAATACGCATCATAAAATGAGTCCTTACTCTATAGAATAGCAAGAACCATTTCTAAGTGGGACTCCCCACATATAATTTTCCCCAGAGCTGTGCTTTTAATGTTGCAAAACCCAACATTCTAGAATAGTCAGCATGACACATGCTCCCAGTTTTTATGGATATTCGTTCCACATCATCTGGTACTTTATAAGCTATTACTTGGAAAAGTTTGCTAGTTGACTTTAGAATATGTTTCTTCACTTCCAAATAGATTGTAAGTAGATAAAAGGAAGGAGTTAAATATTTCCATTCCACTGAGCGTCTACTACTGGATGGACGTATACCCAGTGGGTTGGTTTACTATTTCTTAATGAGTGCTTACATGATTTTTACTTTCACAGAATGATGCTAATATTGTTTTTCTATTTTAGGAACAGTGGAACCCAAAAAAGGAGAACAAGCAGATTTACAGCTATTATCCAGAAAATACGTAGGTTTGACATGAAGAAACATTAAGTAATTCTAGCCTAAAACAGGAGTTCTGGCAGAATAACCATCTTTTTCTATAACAGAAAATTTTCCCAGGTGCAAGAGTTCTTCCACCACATGGTGATAGGATTTCCATGTGCTGAGAGCCAAAGGGCCTCTGATTTATCATTATGCAACGGTGGTACCTTCACGATGGTACCTTCAATGTGCCCTTTCTGCAGCTATTTAATTCACGCATATTTCTCTCACTCTCGCCTCCCCCCTTTTTTTCTAACATAAAACACAGAGAACCAGTGAGTCTCACCCAGTCCTTCCAAGTTCCTCCAGGATTCTTGCTGATGATGGGTTCAAGACGTTTTAGAAGAGTTTGACAGGCATCCTAGGGATTATTTTTTAATTAAAATTACGAGCATAATTTCATGCAAATGCCAGTTTTGAAACAATATGAAACGTGTCATTCCATAGGCTTATCTAAGGGGGAACATGGATAAGAGACCAATCCTATAAGAAGGTGAGGTGAAAGGTTTCATCTGTGTGTGTGTGTGTGTGTGTGTGTGTGTGTGTGTGTGTGTGTGGTGGCCTTGTAAGCCGCGCTAAGAAGTCAGGACTTAGAAAAACTGTTGGCACCACTGGCCCCTGTTTTCAAACATGCATGATCAGATTTAGTGGGCAGTAGAGTGGAAGGTGAGGAAGTTGGGGTGGAGAGACAGAAGCCTTGCGATGGCCCTGGCGAGAGGTGGGCGCCTGAATCAAAGTGATATTAACATAACACCGAGTGGAAAGACACAGAAACATCCTTGCGTAGAACTGAAAGGACTTGCTGTCCAGTGAGAAGTCAGGAGTGAGGGAGAAAAAGAGGTGGCATTTCCAGCACAGGAGAGCTGCTGGGTGCTGTACCTCTGACTGAGCAGGAGACTGGGGGAAGGAGATAAAAGATGCATTACCTCTCAACATCTTCTGAGCTCCACCCACGTATTTGGCCCTGACAAGGGCTAATGAGTTGGACGCCACTGCAGTGATTGTTACCTTTACTGCCAACCCGTTGAGATCCGCCACCACAGACCCTCCAGAGACATTTGCGTTGGGGACAGTTTCTGTGCTTGTCCCACGCAGATGTATGTTTGACATCGGCATTCTTAATTCACGGCTGGCCACCTGGATTTTAGGAAAGAGTTTCTTTTCAAATACTTCGATCAGTCATGGACTTGTGCACATGCCCAGGTGGTAGCACGTGTGTAAAGCCCTTAGATGCACGACATGGCCAAGGGAGCAGAACCATAAATCCCTCCAGTTTCTCTTTTCTAAAAACCCTGTAGCTAGTCTGGACCCCAAGTCCTAAATACATTTTCTTTTTCTTTGACTTTCTCATATGCAATAACATCAGAAAGAGGAGGTAAGGCCCCAGGCCAAAGCAGGAAGAAATACTTCATTCAAGTTTTCACATCATGAAGTCAACACCTTCGAGGTCTCTCCCACCACCACACTCTGCAAAATTCTAGCAAAGACAACTTCATCAGTGACAGGAGATGTCTATCTCCTATCCACATTTGTGGAGCTGCTCCAGGAATAGAGTGCTTCTCATGGAGAGGGCGAGGGCTTTGGAAAAGCAGCAGTATGAATACACGGGTCACAGAAGAAGGGGATGGTGCCAGGGCCATGTGCCAACACAAGGACTTAGCTGGTTGCTTTATTCTTCCTTTACTGTTAGTACTAGAGAGCAAAATCATATGGCTAACTTTAGCTCATCCAGAATTCTCCTCTTTCCTGCTAGTGGCATGGCTTAATAGTGTTCGCCCACAACTTCTACAAGGACATAGGCATACAGAGCCCTTCCATAATGCTTGGCTCTCAGATCGTCTGCACACAGTGCATAGGCTTAGAATGTAAAGGTCTCTGGTGGTTCAACAAGGAAAACACTGAAATCTCACCCTCCAAATGGGGAAAGGTATGACCAGACAATTCTCAAGTTAACATGAAATAAAACATACATTCAACATCTCTATATCTAGAAAAATGTAAATTAAAGTAATAATGAAATACTTTCATTTACCTATCAAATTATCTAAAAATTTTCAACAATCCGTAACATGCAGGGATGTAATGAGATGGATACTTTCTGGAAAACAATCTTACGATGTGTGTCAAATAATTTTAAATACTAACACCCTGTGACCAAGTAATTCTACTTCTGGGAATCTATTTCAAGAAAACAAACACTAATATGATCATGAGTTAATTTCACTAAAGTGTTCAACAGTTGGGGGATGGTTAAATAAATTATACATGCATCCAAATGCAGCCATTAGAAATCATGATTGTAAAGGATTCTTAATGACAGGAGGAAGTACTCACTCTATATAAGGATCAGTGGGAAAAAAAACAGGATACAAAATTATACAAAAGCATGCTAGCAATTTGTTGGAAAAGAAAAAAGACAAGATGGAAAGACCCCAAATGCTGTTTATTCTAAGCGGTGGATTTGTGTAAGGTCTTTTAAAGAAAATTTTTCTTCCTCTTTGAAGTGTTTTATAATCTATAATGTTACTGTTATGATTAATATACAAACAGTAGCTTAAAATTAATCTAAAATAAGTGAGCCAAAAGAAAACTGGTAAAATTTGGCTAGAAATATCAAGTATAATTTATATTGTCAATTATTCGGGGCCCTTAATATGAAAAGGGTAAGAAATAATGCAATATGTCAGAATTTAGACATCATTTTATTGCCCAACAAAGATTCGAAAAAGACAACTCAATTGTTAGTATATCTAAAGGAAAGCAGCAATAAACACACAACGTTCTTTAGCAATAAAACAACTGGAGATTCTTCTGACACATTCTTTTAGGAAGTTCAGTTACAAAATTGGCTTGTTTTCCCAGTTTCTGCTAATAGCTTAACAGCTTAAGCAGTCAAAACTAAAGCTTCCTAATCCTTTATGTTGGAATGGAAAATATACACTGACAGTTTTTCTCTCATGAGCATCTCTACAAGCACACACCCAACTTAATCCAGTTATTTGCAATCTTACCTGAATCATTTTAGTGTGAACGCCCTGCCCCATTTCAATTCCACCATGAGTGACCAGCACAGAACCATCCAAGTAAATGTGGACCAGGGCAGCAGCCTAAGCAGAAAGGACAAAAACAGTATCCATGAGCTTTTTGATGATATTATCACATATCATGTCAATTAAAACATTTTCCTTGGAAATGAGCCCCCTTTCCATCTCCCTAGCTCCTGCCAAAAAAAAAAAAAAAACCACAGAGATGCTTTTCCCATTGCCCTGACAGTACTGAGCAGAGCCAGGGCAATACTGGGCTAGTACTGCCTTGTGGTCACCCCACGAGAGGCCATGTTGCCCCTAGGTGGCTTTGAGTCTATGGCAAGACTATGTTCCTTAAGCTACTATTTCCTAACTAGGACATCTGAGCACACTGGTACCTCCAAGAACCCCTCTCTCCCTGGCCCAGAGTGGAGCAACATTTTAGGTTTCTTTTTGGAGGAAGGGGGCTTAATGTAAAGTTAAGTAGAGATAGGTTGAGTGAGAGGGAGAATAACTGTTTGTGTGTACACATAATCCCATAGCTGTAGGTGTGTTGCAGAGGAGTGAAAATGAAAATCCAAATAAGACAGGATTAATAGACATTAATTTTTTTGCTGCAAAATGAGCTAAGCCCACCCTAAATCATTGTGGTACAGAATTACAGAGCTTTGGAGTTGAAAGGGAACTTGGAAGTAATCGTATCTAACTGTATGGCACCTCACAAGGATCCAGAAGGAACCAGCCTGCCAATAGCACAAGAAGCTCCTGCAGTAAGAAACATCCAGACTCTAAGCTAAACATGTTTTATGATTAACAAGAATGTGCCTTCTTGCAAGTCTGCCTGTGCTAAACTAGAGTACGGAGATATCCCAGGGGGCTGCCGAACACAAGGATGCTTTCTCCGCTTTGAACCTCCAATATATTAATAAGACAACATCAATAGCATATGGTCCTAGAAAAGATGTCTCTGCATGGTTCCACTGCAGTGCAGGACAGCCTGCAAGGCAACCACTGCAGCTCTTCAGCTGGAAAGTGCCAACCTCATGGATGTGGTCTGGGTAAGCCAGAGGTCACTTAAAGCTCTGTCAGCTAGGTTTCTTAATATCTAAGTTTCTATGCACAGTGGCATAATAATCTACGATTTAATGGCAGGGTCTTCGGAAAATTCTGGTACCAAGCTTATCTCCACTTAATGAACCTAAAATTTTAGTAAGCCTTAACTACCCACTTAGATTACTTGTAAGCAACCCTGGTCATAAGTAAAAGTGGATGGAATTTCACATCAATCACCAGATAAACCCAAGGAAAGTTCTGTATACCTCGATCAATTCTCTGCCCAAAAAAAGAACCTTGACAGCCACCTATGGGCTGTGGACCACACTTGGAAAACTGCCTCTTTATTGGTATCCAAAGGTTCATCATCCCAGAGAATGACAACCAGAAGTCCCTATTGTTCCAAATAAGACAATTTTGACAGTGAAAATGGGCTCCGTTTACTTGGGGAGCAGGTGTAAAGTAGAGATGTACTGGGAAACAGAGACATTGGGGTGCCCTTTCTCTGAGGACAAAGGCACATACACTCGCAGCCCAAGGGAGACTCTTAGAATCGTGAAGAAGGCACAGCAGCCATAACACTCATGCCCAAGGGCCTTGGGAAGATGCAGCAGAGCATGTTTTACTGCTCATTGACACGTGACTCCTGGAAACACCATCTTGGGCTCCTGGTCATTTATTCTCAAAAGAATAAAGATGAGGAGTAGCTTTCCTCTACACAGACCCCAGAGCTGGTGGACCTGGGGTTGTGCATTAGATGTCAGGTAATGCCAGCTGCAACAGTAGCTCCTGGGCCCCATTCTGTGGCACTTGATTGAACTTGGCTAGAATGCGAGTCCCTGGAAAGGAAGGATTATGTCCAAAGGCATTTCTTGGAACGCAACATAGTATCTCACCTGTGGTAGGTGCTCAATAAATGTTTGATAAGTGAACTTGCAATAGCACAGCCTTTCAATCTGTTGCTTAAGCTTGTAGACTCTGCATCTGGCCTCCTTGGCTCTGCAGAAAGTGGGTGTAATTCATAGCTGGACTTGGCACATATGATTGAACTACAATTATAGTGGATTGTACGTTTCCTACATTGTGTGACCCTGCTGGTGACAGCACTCAGCCTGCATGTCCAGGGCAGCATTTCTATCAAAGACTGCTGAGTAATTTGTTCCATGTGATGCTGCAATCTCCTTGGGCCATTTAAAACGTCAAATTCAGTTTAGTTAAGTGGAACCACCGGATGGTTCATTGTTAGAACCACAAAAGATAATTCTGCAAAGCTTCATCTACAAAATCGGCACAACTGGAGTGTTGGAGCAGATGGTTCTCCAATATGAATAGAGGGCTTAGTCGGGGAAATTCAAATCTTCAAGCAACAACTGCTGGTATTGGTGAGAAGTTAGCTTTAATAGCACAGATTCCCTAAATGTCTCAGCCATTTAGACATTTGAGCCCTACTCTGTGCCACGTTCCGTGGTACGGCACTGGAAACACAGAGGCTAATTAGGTACCGTCCGTGCCCTTTAGTGTTCACAGTGCAGGAATTGAACACAGGCATACCTTGGAGAGATTGCAAGTTTGCTTCCAGATCATGGCAATAAAGTGAGTGTCACTATAAAGTGAGTCACACAAGGTTTTTGGTTTCCCAGTGCATATAAAAGTTATGTTTACACTATACTGTAGTCTATTTAGTATACTTTACATTTACACTATACTATAGTCTATTTAATACAATAGCATATGTCTAAAAATATACATATCTTCATTTAAAAATATTTTATTGCTAAAAAAAAGGTAACAATCATCCGAGCCTTCAGTGATCATAATCTTTTTGCTGGTGGAGGGTCTTGTCTCAATGTTGGTGGCTGCTGACTGATCAGGGTGGTGGTTGCTGAAGGTTGAGGTGGCTGTGGCAATTTTTAAAAATAAAACAACAATGAAGTATGCTGCATTGATTGGCTCTTCCTGTCACGAAAGATTTCTCTGTGGCATGTGATGCTGTTTGATAGAATTTCACCCACAGTAGAACTTCTTTCAAAATTGGAGTCAATCCTCTCAAACCCTGCCACTGCTTTGTCAACTAAGTAAGTATAATATTCTAAATCCTTTGTTGTTACTTCAACAATGTTCGCAGCATCTTCACAGGAGTAGATTCCATCTCAAGAAACCACTTTCTCTGCTTATCCGTAAGAAGGCTTTGGTTTAAGGGAATGTTGTGGTTGGTCTGATCTTTTATCCAGACCACTCCCCAGTGGTTAAAATTTTATCATGGGATTGTAGCAATTCAGTCGCATCTTCAGGCTCCACTTCTAATTCTAGTTCTCTTGCTATTTCCACCACATCTACAGTGACTTCCTCCACTGAAGTCTTGACGCCCTCAAAGTTATCCTTGAGGGTTGGAATCAACTTCTTCCAAACTCCTGTTCACGTTGATATTTTGACCTCTTTCCATGAATCGTGAATGTTCTTAATGGCATCTAGAATGATAAATCCTTTCCAGAAAGTTTCAATTTAATTTTGCCCAGATCTATCAGAGTAATTATTATCTATGGTAGTTATAGCCTTATGAAATGTATTTATTAAATAATAAGACTTGAAAGTTGAAATTACTCCTTGATTCATGGGCTACAGAATGGATGTTGTATTAGCAGGCATGAAAACAACATTAATCTCTCTGTGCTATCAGAGCTCTTGGGTCACCTGGTGCATTGTCAATGAGTAGCAATATTTTGAAAGGAATATTTTTTCTGTGCAGTAGATCTCAACACTGGCCTTAAAATATTCTGCAAACTATGCTGTAAAACAGATGTACTGTCATCCAGGCTTTGTTGTTCCATTTCGAGAGCATAGACACAGGAGATGTAGCATAATCCTTAAGAGCCCTAGGGTTTTCAGAATGGCAAATGAGCACTGGCTTCAAATTAAAGACACCAGCTGCATGAACCCCTAACAAGAAAGTCAGCCTGTCCTTTGAAACCTTGAAGCTAGGCACTGACTTCTTCTCTGTAGCTATGAAAGTCCTAGGTGGCATCTTTTTCCAATATAGGGTTGTTTTGTCTCCATTGAAAATCTATTGTTTGGTGCAGCCACCTTCATCAGTAATGTTAGCTAGATCTTCTGGATAACTCGCCGCAGCTTCTCTACCAGCACTTGCTGCTTCACCTTGCACTTTCATGTTATGGAGGTGGCTTCTTCCTTAAACCTCACGAACCAATCACTGCTAGCTTCAAACTTTTCTTCTGCAGCTTCATCCACCTCTGTTAGCCATCATAGAATTGAAGAGAGTCAGGGCTTTGCTCTGGATTAGGCTTTGATTTAAGGGAATGTTGTGGTTGGTTTGATTTTCTATCCAGACCACTAAAACTTTTTCCATATCAGCAATATGGCTGTTTCACTTTCTTATCATTCATTAATAACCTTGTTTTTGCCTTAGTTCCTCACCCATAGCCCTTTGACTGTCTCTTGCATCTGGGTCAATTGTGTGCAGATGACTAAATGGCTCTGTGCTATTTTCTGCCTTCACAAGCAGGCAAGGAATGAGAAGGCTGCAATAAGATCATCCTTTATAACACTACTTCTCTGACCCACCCCTGCCTAAAATCAAAGCTGCATGCAAACGTTCTAAGGTACTCCAAGGCTCAACTAGGAAAGTTAGGTGAACAGGCAGATTCAGGAATGTGGGAGGACCCCCCCCCCCACTTTTCTTGGCCTCGTCAGCTCCTGTTTCAACATATGACATCCACACTAATGCTCCTCTCCCAGCTCCCCCCATTCGCTGCTCTTCCGTGATCAGGGAACAAGCCTGCCATGCCTTCCTCATGGCTCAGCCCAAGGCGTGAGTCCTGCAAAGAGGAGTGACACCAATTGTGAGCGCTCCTCTGGCTTATCTGTATGTACACAAACACATATATGTAGGAAAATAGACAGTAGGTTTCCCCCGTCACTACTGCGCCATGAGCCAGAACAGCACGGTCCCCCACTAGCCATCAGGGGTAAGCTTCATTCATGAATGAAGAGGTGGAAACAGCAAGTGGGATTTAGCAACAAAGCAAGGGGATTTATTTAATCAAATAAAGAAAATAAACTACAAGAGAGGCTCCCAGTCCTCCCCTTCACACTTTTAACAGCTATGAGATGAACAAACTCTGAAAATTGTGTTTAAAAAGATATTGAAGTGATTTACTTTTCTGGATTTAGTTTACCCCAACCCACCCCACCCAGAAGGAGTGGGGCGCCACACGCCTTGCAGCCTCCATTTCAATTCACAGCCCAGCGACACAGAATCACAGGGGCTGGAGCGGAGTCGTGGAGGGTGTCGGTCCTGCACTCTTACTTCCCATGTGAGCTATCCAGGCCCAGAGCGAGTTGGCTCCACTGTTTACTGCCAGGGCCAGGAGTAAACCTCAAGTCTCCCAATTTCCCAGCAGGAATGTTTTTCACCAACTGTGGGGATGCGGGCAGAGGAGCTCTTGTCTCCTCCAGAAGAAAGCTGGCTTGACTAAGCACGGCTTGGAAGAAGTTTAACAGCTGGGCACTGCATCCCCGTGGCTAACCTGACTTAAGGAAAAGTCTCCTCAACATCTTTTGTTTTGTCTGGGCCACTTCTGGGCGTGTTCCCACCTGTGTTTGGAGAACTGACCTGACCAGCAGCGACTGAGCCAAGGCCGACAGGAAACTTCAGGGGGACTATGGCCAGCCCTTTCTTCTTCCAGTAATTCTCCGTGTTGAATTTTTCCACGGCTGCTTTCCTCAGCGAGTAGGAAGACATGGCCATACATTCTCTCCAGCACTGGATCAGGTTCTGGGCATTAATCTCTTGTTTGTAGGGTGTTTGATCAAAGTCCTTGTACATGTTTATTGTTCGGACCTATGGAGGAAAAGGAGATTAAAGTGGGGGTGCGGGGAGCCCAGCAGACATAGTCTCGCCCATCCACTGTCCTCTTGGCCAAATTCTGCCCATCCTACAAGCTCCAAGCTGAGTCCTACTTAGTCTTTGTAGAAACCTTTCCCCACACACAGCGTTCTCCTCTTCCTTTACTTGAAGCCTTTACTTGAAGATATGTTAGCACTCACTTAAATGCTTTCTACACTGCTGCTGTGCAAATTCAAAGGAAAGGATCCTTCCCCTATATTCCTATGGGACTCGACACAGTCCGGGTACACTAGAGACGCCTAATTCCACTTGTGTTGGGAATACCTGTTGAAGGGTCATCCAGGTCACATGATTTGGATTATTCAGATGCTGTGGCAAGATAAGACCACTGACCTCCAAAACACACAAATGTGAAAGTGACAAAGCTGGTCATTTTAGTTATTCAAATGAATGAAGTTGGGGCTGAGACTTAAAGAACTGAAAGGAGACCATTTGAATAACTAAAATGACCAACTTTTTCACAGCTTGCTGAGATGTTAGGGAGGCAGGGAACGAGGGGCTTAGTGGAACTGTTGGTAGCGGTTATACCCTCAACTGATGGGGGCTTCTCACTAACTGGGTGAGAAGCCGGTGCTCACTCATCTATAGCCTCTGTTTCCAGGATTTTTTAGGACTGTGAGTAAGACAAAGGTCACTGAACTTTGGAGCCCTGGTTCTATATTAACTAGTCAGCTCGGTTACCTGGAGCAAATCATTTACTCCCCAGGATCTTAAATTCCTCAACCTGAATGACCCCCAAAGGCCTCCCCACCTCTGAATTCTAAGTCTTTTGTGTGTGAGATTTAGTATTACCTTCTCAGGGGACAAACCACACTTGGCTGCAACTTCTGTGATACAGGATTCGGTGATCAGCCCCGCCTGAGGAAAGCCAAACCCACGAAATGCTGTGTTGGATGGAAGGTTGGTTCTGCACGCCCAAGCCCTGCAGCGTAGGTTGGGAAACTTGTAAGCGTTGTCCATTTTCAGAATTCCCATTTCTATCACCTGGAGAAATCCAGAGGTGATGTGATAAGCCCCTGTACCTGTCTCCCCGTCCTAAGACTCAGATCCAAACCAGGCCGGAAATGGCAGTCCCTCTACAGCACATCAAACAAGCTAAATATATCCACACCCCAAATGTTTGCTGTAAAATAATCTTTAAGTATTTGAATAATTTTTCTTTTGAAGTACTTATTTTTTTCTTTTCATATTTTAGAGTTCATGCATTTTTTTCAGATCTCAAACATTTACAGAAGCCTTTGAAATATTCACAGGCTCTAAGCGCTTGGTCTACAGAATGTAATGAATATATACCCTAGAAAACAGAGAAAATGGAAAAAAATGTTTTAGCATTGGGTCTAATGCATTGTTCCTTAACCAGGGGCAATACCTTCCTCCTGGGGACATTCGGCAATGTCTGGAGGAGACAATTTTGGTCGTGAAGGACTTGGGAGTGGTGGTGTCATTGACAACTACCGAGCAGAAGCCAAAGATGCTGCTAAATATCCCGCAAGGCACAGGACAGCCCCCAAAATAAAGAGTCACCCGGTCCAGAATGTCAGTAGCACCAAAGCTGAGAAAGCCTGGTCTCATGTTTGCACGTGGGAAAAGAGCTCTGAATGCTTAGAGGGAAGCACGGAGATGACACACAGATGCAGACTCAGCTAAGATCTCTGGGCTCATGCTGGGGGCACCAGTAAGTAACACGTGCCTACCCCTGCGATGATTGCTACACTTTCATAATTAAATATTACTTAACTATTGAACATTTTCTGAGTTAAATCATTTTATGTAACTCTTTCAGGAATGTGAACTTGCTTCTCAAAGCACTTACGAATAATGACTCGTCCAGGGTGGCGCCTCCATTGCTATAATGCTCCATGTCCAGGGCCAAGATTCTGCCGTCATTCATGAATCCAGCCTGCGGGAGGAGAACTGGCCTTCGGTACTGGCGCCAGGGCCAAGCCTCTCTAAAGTTTATTTTGTCCCTTGTGAACCCTCCACACATAGGGAAAAGCTTCATGCATTGGATTTGGCTGGATGTCTTGGATATATAACTAGCACTGTGATTTTAGGCAAGCTATGTAACTTCTTTCAGTATCTGTGAAATGGAAATAAATAAGGTAATGCACAGAAAATTATAGGCAAGTGCCTGAAACAGCAAGTGTTCTAAATATAAATTGTTAGAATTACTATTATAAATATTGTCTCCTATCTTCATACTACTCTCCATCAGAAAACATTATTTTCTCATAGTTTTAATCACTATTGTGAGGATGGCTTCTGTCACTATAACCCAGTCCTTTTAACAAAGTCCCATGGTGGTGAATGACATTTCTGCTTAAGATCCTATTGTCACTTCTTCCCCAACACTTATACAAACAAGCTCATCACTGTCCTGCCAGATTGGTTCCTCCTTCCAACTTGTCTGTTTCTTCTAGAACCCTCCAAGTCATGTTTGTGGTTGTGTTCTCCATTGTATTTTGCCAAACTTTTCACCAAATCCTATTTTATTTTACACTACAATGGCTCTTGGACTCATCTCTTCTACATCTTACCATCCTATCTCAGACCCCATCTGCTTCATGTCTGAATGCATCAGCTGCCTCCCCCTGGTCCACCTGCCTCTGTCCTCTCTTCTCAGGCCATCCTGTTACCCTCCCCAAAGGGCCCATGTTTAGATACAGCACTACGCTGATCAAGGAACTACTCAATCTCAGTCTTTCTTACAAGAGCAAGTGACTCCAAGCCCCTCTCAGTCAGGCACCATCTAAACCAGCCTATCCTCTTTTTCACTACCCTCCAGGAAGCACTCTGTAGTCCTTCCCCCTCTCCCTTCACTCCTGCCCCTTCCAGACATGCCATGTCATTCCACCACCTGGCATGCCTTCTTTCTGCCTACCCATTCTTGAAGGCACATTTATGTTTCACCTTCTTTAAGAAGACTCCTGGATATATTCTGACTCATTCATCTTTCCCCATGGTTTTACTATGTGTGCTTCATCTCTTAACCTGAGAGCATTATGTTTTCATTTTTTTAAATTTCAAAATATTAATAGTATAGGAGTATACATATTTTTGGTTGCATGGATCACTTTTATAATGCTTGAGCCATGGTTATAAGTGTGCCTGTCACCCAGATAGTATTCATTGTACTCGTTAGGTAGATTTTCACCTATCCCCACCTCTTCCCTCCCCCGTTTGATTTCCATTAAGTTTTACTTCCCTCTAAGCACATGTGTGCTCTTCGGTTAGTTCCAATTTAATAGTGACTACATGTGGTGTTAGTTTTTCTATTCTTTTGATACTTCATTTAGGATAATGGTCTTCAGTTCCATCCAAATCATTGCAAAAGGCATTAAGTCATCCTTCTTCATGGCTGAGTAGTACTCCATGGTATACATATACCACATTTTGTTAATCCACTCATGAATTGATGCACACTTGGGTTGATTCCACATCTTTGTAATTGTGAATTGGGCTGCAATAAACATTCGAGTACAGGTGTCTTTTTGATAAAATGACTTCTTTTCCTTTGGGTGAATACCCAGTAGCAGGATTGCTGGATCAAATGGTAGGTCTACTTTTAGTTCTCTGAGGAATCTCCATACTGTTTTCCATAGAGGTTGCACTAGTTTGCAGTCCCACCAATGGTGTATAAGGTTCCTTTCTCTCCACATCCACACCAGCATCTGTTGTTTTGGGACTTATTGATAAAAGCCATTCTCACTGGAGTTAGGTGATATCTCACTGCGGTTTTGATTTGCATTTCCCTGATGATTAGAGACGTTGAGCATTTTTTCATACGTTTATTGGCCATAAGTCTATCTTCTTTTGAAAAGCTTCTGTTCATGTCTTTTGCCCACTTTTTAATGTCTCAGTCCCTGAGAGTTTTTAGTTGTTTTTTAAAGCAGTTAGCCTACTGTGACAAGTAAAATTATTTCTTATAAAGCAAAAGTACAGTTACTTTCTACTATGAAAATTTTCCTAGAAATTTCTGGGACCCATTTTTACAAAAATATCCATGATGTATTGAAAAATGAAGAACACATCTGCAAATAATTGCAATTTCACATAACACTATTGTTATGGGAATTATTCTGTTTTCACCTGCTTTACATGTGGGAATAAGCATGGTTATCAGATTTACTTTCATAGACATACATCCTCATGTTTTCCAATTATTTACTCTGTAACAGCCAATACCAGCTAGTATTTTTTTCTTAAATTGATATCTTTGAGCAAAGCAGAAAAGCTTCATTGCACTAGCCAGTGATTAAACAGTCAGCACAAGGAATAGAAAGTTGGATAACTTGTTGATTTGTTCATAGTCATTCCCCATTAGAAAGTAGCCAAACACTGCCCTCTGCCTTGACAGAATGTTGTGTTTACAACACAAGTCCTTCCCCCTCACCTTCTTCTTCTACTCACTTTGTACTTTCCAAGGTAAGGGTGGCGGCCTCCAGTTATTAACATGTCTTCTCCTCGTTCCAAAATGCAGCGGACTGCACGACCATGTCTAAAATAGCAAAAAGGCAAGAGAGGTAAACTCTTTTACCAAGATGGTATTATCTGGAATTTATATAACTCCTGATGAGAGCCTGAGTGGGGCTGAGTGGTGCCCACATGCATCACAGAAGCACAGAACTACCCTACATGTCCAGCTTCTGCTGATCTCAGTCATACCGGGTGGCCTCCCCTCCCTTCTGGTTAGGGCATAATGCCTGGCATTGCTACTTGTGGGAAGGAGGTTCTTGGATGCTCAAGGCTCTAGGGTATTGCTCTGGGGGTATTCCCACTGTGATAACAACCTCTGCTACAGGCAAACTTTCCCAAGGCCACATTTTAAACTGGCACAAATGAAGGTGCTAACTGCCAAGTACTCTCTGATAGGACAGATCTGGAATCCAGGTCTTTTTGCTGGAACTGATCTATATTACTCAGCAAAGAAATTAAGCCTTTTAGGTGTGCCTGCTCCAAAGACCACTTCCTATGATGATGTTTTGAGATACTCAAAGGAAAATAACAATATAAATTAATGTAAACATAACAAAAACAAAGTCTCTATTGAAAGCAAGACAATATATATATGGTCCAAAAAGTCATATTAAATGACCTATACATATATAGGTCAGTCCAACAGGTGCTAAGGACAAGTAACCCATTACCCATTTAGGATCTGTTTCTGTCTACTTTCCAGGTATTCCAGGTAATATTTTTTTCTGTGGCTTTCATTCTTTTCAGTAATTGATTCTTTTATATACATATATATTTTTTTTTCTTTCTTCTAAGTAAAAGAAGTCATGTCTAAAGTAATTGATTCTTATTTTGATTCTTATAGGATGTAGCTTGACAATATAAGACAAGGAAGTTATAATAAGCTGACAGCTTGTTTATGTTTGTATATTGTATGTCATTTTAAATAATCTTGGCCCAGATTCTTCCTCATTAATCCTGATATTGAGAACTTTCACCATGATTTCATTTTATTTTGTAGTGTATTTAGCAGATTTTCTCCACGTACTTGTTTGCAGCAAATGCGGTGACAGCTGCCATGATGCCAGTTTTGATGACCTTCCCTCCAAACGCCCCACCAACACGCCTTACATGACACATGACCTTGTTGGCTGGGAGCTTTAAGGTTGAGGCAACTATGTCCTGTGAACAATGACAGTTCTGATTAATTTGACTCATCTTCAGCAAGGACATAATTGTGACTATCATTGTCACACCCATGACCTTAACAAAAAGAAATTGTCCCCTGAAGTGGGGGTGTGACAGCCACTGCACATTTTTATCCCATGATGTTGTATGTGATACCCAAACTGGGTAGTTATGGTAAATAATAGGACAATGTCTACCCTTGGAATGCATCCCCAGCCTACTCTCAGCAACATCTGGCTATAAGGACATTGCCAAAACTCTTATTAATATTAAGTATCCCTTCATTACCAGTGAGATACTGGATTTCGTGCTAATACTTTTTTGTATTTTCCCCATGAACCACACTCGAAGTGTCCTTTTTTCATACTAGGGACATGTTTCCTAAAGCAGTGAGATTTCGTGGCCTTCCAAGACTCTCCCAGCTTGGGTCTCTTCCTTACATTCTACTGTCTCCCCGGAGAATGAGCACTTTTCACCTCCCATTTGGACTGCCGCTAAAGTTGGCCAGTTGGTCTTCCCTGGATGCAGGTCTTGCTCTTTCTTGCGATCATAATGTTGAGAGGTCATTTAATCTTAACAACTAATTTGTATAGATAGGGAGCCCGAGATGGATGAATTGAGGGCCCAACATCACACAAGGAATGAAGAGTAGAATAGGCTCGGAATGGAGGCCATCTGACCCTTCTTTGTGCCCACCTTCTACAAGGCAATTCTCCACATTCTCACATTCCTATCCTCTGGCAATGGCACTGGCTCCTTATGACCTGCTGAATCAAGATCCCTCTGCTCTGCTTCCCTTACTTTCCCCCTGGTGCTTAAACCTAGCCTCCCCTTAAGACACCCTCCATTCCAGCTTGGGGAGTCACTGTGCCATTCCTCCTTCCTCACATGCATGTTGCCTGGGATACAAGACACAGGCAACAAATGTTGGCAGAAGCATTAATAAATGAACGAATGAGTGGCATTTGATCTTGCTGTGTATTTCCCTGGAAATGGCTCCTCTTCTACCATCTAGGCAAACGTCACTGTAACCATGAATCCAGACTTAAAACTTCTTCTTCATGGGTCTACCTGGGTGATTCTAGCCTCAGCAAACTCTCTTTTCTCTTCATTTCTCCACTCATGTACATTTTGACTTAGCTGATTTAGCACCTGGCTGCCTCCTTTCCAATACTATTTCCTAACTGCTTCATGTCAGTGAGGTACCATAAGCTCTGGGGGGCAGGCCTTCCTCTTTTCTCTTTTGTGTTCTTAACCATGCCAAGAGCAGAGCAAAAGAGACCTGCTGATTCCACAATTGGTTTTATAGTTACAGAACCACAAACAAAAGGTCCCTACTTTAATAATACTCTTCTAAAAGTTCTGAAATCATATGGCTATTAATATCCAAATCAATATGGCTGTTAGTAGTCAATATTTCTTCAGTTCCTGAAGAAAGGACATTTTTATCCCTAATTGCTCTTGGTATATTTTTCTGGCAGAAACCATTTAGCCATGTCCCCTCCACAGAGGCCTCATGTTACCTGTATGTGTTTGGGAAACTGTGTGGACACATAGACATCCATTTCTTGGTCCTCTCCTTTGGGAACGACAAGCATGCTTTGGGTTTCCATATAAAAATGTTCTTGACCTCCCATATATATTTCACCTGTTATAGGAAAATACATGAAAGTTGAGGAGGCAACCAGAAAGTACAGGTGGTATCCCCAGCTGTTGTCTCATTGTGCAGAAATTCCACTGACAGTGCTTCTGCTGGGCCAGCACGCTGTACAGTGAAGGGTTACAAACAGCAATGTTTAGCTTTCAGTACACTTGTGGATTTGAAGTAGAGTTCTGCATGGGAATCCATTGTGTCTGCCATTGTGTTAGATCACAGAGCCCTAGGGAAACATGTGCAACTTTCCAGAGTCAAAATACTATGGCAAGGAGATTTCCAGTTCCAGGAGAAGATTAAATAGATGTACTTCTCCCTGTTTCTCCTGTTATATACAGCTAACATTCCTGAATATTACATATAAAACAAATATAAGAGGACTCTGAAAGGTAAAGAGAAGAAGGCAGACCGAGTAGAGACTTTGGGACCGACGGAAAGACACACAATGAGTTCAGTGGGTTTTGTTGTTGTTTGCCTCATAGATCCCAGACTTAGCTCTAGAAAAGCCAGTAATCTAAAAACACCAACTGGCAAAGACAGAAAAAAATTTTCCTTTTTCTAGCCAAATGACCAGAAAAGGGGAAGCCAAGGAAGATAAAAAAATTTTTAGACAATAAACACTCTACTCCAGCTAAATATGACAGAAAAAAAACGCAATCCAACTCCTACCTGTAAAGGTGGAGTAGGGAACCTCTACTTCCACCCTCATCAGGCTGTCATGAGGTGTCCCAAGCCCTCTGCTAGGGTGGTGTCAGTGGAGACTACTTGGGGAGCCTAGACTTGTAACCCCTACCTGGCAGTAACAAGGCATTACCCCCTTCTTCCCCACCAGCAAAGTACTAGAGTAGTCTGGCGAACAGAAGATTCTAGTAAAATGAAAGATTTAAATAAGATCCAAAGCCTTATAACATAATATCCAAAATGTTCAAATATTACTCTTCACACCAAGAACCAAGAAATTCTCAGGCCGGGCGTGGTGGCTCACGCCTGTAATCCTAGCACTCTGGGAGGCCGAGGTGGGCGGATTGTTTAAGCTCAGGAGTTCGAGACCAGCCTGAGCAAGAGCGAGACCCCGTCTCTACTAAAAATAGAAAGAAATTAATCGGACAACTAAAAATATATAGAAAAAATTAGCCAGGCATGGTGGCACATGCCTGTAGTCCCAGCTACTTGGGAGGCTGAGGCAGAAGGATCGCTTGAGCCCAGGAGTTTGAGTTCGAGGTTGCTGTTAGCTAGGCTGACGCCACGGCACTCTAGCCCGAGCAACACAGTGAGACTCTGTCTCAAAAAAAAAAAAAAAAAAGAACCAAGAAATTCTCAACTTCAATGAGAAAAGAAATCAACAAATGCCAACACTGAGATGACACAGATGTTGGAATTATCTGACAAGGATTTCAAAGCAGCCATCATAAAAATGCTTCATCGAGCAATTACAGGAATACTTGAAACAAATGAAAAAATAGAAAGTCTTAGCAAAGAAATAGAAAGTATAGAAAAAGAACCAAATGGAAATTTTACAATTGAGAAATACAACAACCAAAATTTTAAAAGCTCAATGGATGGGCTGGAGAACATAATAGAAAGAAAAGAGGAAATTATTAGTGGACAAGAACACAGAACAATAGAAATCAACAAACCTGAATAAGAGGAAAACAACAGCCTGCAAAGAAATGGACTGAGCCTCAGGAACCTGTGTGTCTATAATAAAAGATTTAATATTCGTGTCACTGAAGTCAAGTATTTGAAAAAATAATAGCTAAAAATTTCCCAAACTTGGCAAAAGACACAAACCTACATTCAAGAAGCTGAGCGATGCAATAGGATAAATCAAAGAAATACATGCCAGGAGACATCACAGTCAAACTTCAGAAAGACAAAGACACTGTCTTGAAAGCAGCAAGAGGGAAACACTACCTCATCTGTAGGGAAAGAGCACTTTGAAAGACACAGGATTGCTCATCAGAAAGCATGGAGGCCAGAGGAAGTAGTGTAAAAATTTTCTAGTGCTAAGAGACCTGTCAACTCAGAATTCTACATCCAATGAAAATATCCTTCAAGAATGAAAAAGAAATCAATACATTCTCAGATGAAGGAAAACTAAAGGAGTTTTTTTTTCAACAGACCTACCCTAAAATAATGGCACAGGGAAATTACTAAAACAGGGGATAATAAAAAAAAGGAATCTTGGAACATCAGAAAGAAAGAATAAAAATAGACGTAAAGACTTTTCTTCTCCTCTTGAGTTTTCTAAATTGTGTTTGAAGCAAAACTATAACATTGCTTCATGGTGTTCTTGATGCATGTAGAAAAAACATTTAAGACAATTATCAGTCATATTATAAATAG